GACCCTGGGCTGGCCAAGCCACAGCATGTCACTGAAACCTTCCACCCTGACCCAAACTGGAAGAATTTCCAAAAACCTGGCACTTGGAGAGGCTCCCTGGATGAGAGTTCTCTGGGTTTTGGATACCCCAAGTTCATCTCCCATCAAGACATCCGAAAGCGAAACTATGTAGGAGATGATGCTGTCTTCATCCGTGCCTCTGTTGAACTGCCCCGGAAGATCCTCAGCTGAGTGCAGAGCTGGGGAGCTCAAGGGGTATAAGGGATAGGACATGGCCGGGCGCTGGTGGCTCACGCCTGTAATCCTAGCTACTCAGGAGGCTGAGATCTGAGGATCGCGGTTCAAAGCCAGCCCGGACAGGAGAGACTCTTATCTCCAATAAACCACCAGAAAACCGGAAGTGGCGTTGTAGCTCAAGTGGTAGAGCGCTCGCCTTGAGCTGAAGAGCTGAGGGACAGCACCCAAGCCCAGAGTTCAAGCCCCACGACCGACAAAAAAAAAAAAGGGATAGGACATGACCTCAGTCAGGCACTGGCCAAAACTGGAGAGGGGGCTGGCCCCCCTTTCTGCTACTTCTGCCTAGGTTCTGTTACCCTGTTCTTCCCCTACCACCATCCTCAGGTGCCTCCAATCGGTGCTTCATCCCTGATCCCTGGAGGGAGCAGGTCTTGGGATTATCAAGGGCTGAAAACGAGTGATCCCCAGGGCCTGTCTCCCCTCCTGGGCAGGGCAGACATGCCTTGTTGCCAGCCACATTCTACTTGGACTGAGGCGCCTGCTCAGGTGCTATGTTCCAAGAACCATAGGGGGGAGTTGGGAAATGGAGGGGTAGTTAAAAGAATCTGCCTTGAGATTAATTTTTCTTCCCCTTTCTCCAGCTGTGGCCCTTCTGGTTATTTATTTCTTTAATGCTCGGAGGTCACAGCAGGGGAGCTCTGATTTTTAATAAACCCTGAGTTGTATTTATTTAAAGAAAACAACAACAACTGGAAGTGGAGCTTAAAGTGGTAGCGCACTAGCCCTGAGCAAAAGAGTTCAGAGACAGCAACCAGGCCCTGAGTTCAAGCCCTACAACCACCAAAGTAAGTAAATAATAAAAGTCTGTTTCTGTTTAATCTGTCAATTACTATCAAAGTGTGTTGTCAGCTTTAGGTAACTCTTCCCCACTTAGATCAACTGATAAAGAGAAAAAGGCTGGGCTGGGAAGGTGGCTCAGTGGTAGAGTGCTTGCCTTGCATGTATGAGGCCCTGGGTTTGATTCCTCAGCACCACATAAGCAAAAAAGCCAAAGTAGCACTGTGGCTCAAGTGGTAAGAGAGAGAGAAAGGCTGTTTCCTTCACATCTTCGGCCCATGATAGAATCCTGTTTCCAATAGGCCAGCAAAAAGCCAGAAGTTGAGGTATAGCTCAAGTGGTAGAGTACCAACTTTGAACAAAAAAAGCCAGGTAAGAACCTGAGTCCTAGGTTCAAGCCCCTGTGCCAACCAAAACAAAACCTTTTTTTTTCATGTTTTGTTTTATAACATTTTAAGTGAAGATATAATTTTTAACTATTTATCATGTGAGAGACATTTATTTTCTTATTTTCATGTGCAATGTACATTTTATTTATTTATTGTCAGGGGGCTTGAACTCAGGCTTGGGTGCTATACCTGACCTTTTTTGCTTAAGGTTAGTGCTCTATCACATTGAGCCACAGCTCCACTTCCCATTTTCTGATGGTTAATTGGAGATGAGTATCATGGACTTTCATGCCATGGTGGGCTTTGAACCACAGTCCTCAGATCTCAGCTTCCTGAGTAGCTAGGGTTAGAGGCATAAGCCATCACCTGGCTTTGCAATGCACATCCTTCCAGCAGAATTTTTGCTTATGTGTATGCCAGGACTATCACTTCCTTGGCTTTCTTGCTTATGGATGATGCTCTACTACTTGAACCACATCTCCAGCTTGGCTTTTTGTTCTTTTTTTGAGAGGGTTTTGTTTTCATATTAGGAATCAAACCTAGAGCATTGCACTTGCTTGACAAGCACTTTGCCACTGAGCTACATCCAGCCCCTTGCTGATAAATTTGGAGAGTCTAGACTCCCTAGAATTGGATTTGAACCTCTCCTCCAGGTCTCAGCTTCCTAGGTAGCCAGGATTCATAGGCATGAGGTATTGAATGCCTTTTTAAAAAAATTATTATTGTGAAAATACCGTACAGAGGGGTTACAATTACATGAGCAAGGTTCCATTTCTGATTTTTAGGATATATTTCTAGAAGTGATTTCTGGGTCAAAGAGAATGCAGTGGCCAAAGGTTCTCAATTACTCAAGAATTGCGGGTCAAAGAGAATGGTCCATTCAAAGGCTCTCGAATAAAAATAAGTATTGCCAAATTGCTCTCAAGGAAAGTTTCCTAATTCATACTCTCACTAGCAGTGTAAGAGAGCTCCATGCTTACTGTAAGATACGCTCCTAGAAGGAGACTCCACTCTCCCCGCAGCAAAGGCTCCGCCCAGTACCTGAGTTACCTAGGCAACTGGCACACCTGGAAGAGGTCACACCTTTCTCCATCCATACCCTAGATAAGGCCTAGCCCAGGCCCAGACGCCCTCTTTCCCAGGCCTTTCCCAGCCGCTTGGAGGGCCAAGATGGCCTGGTGCCAGCCAGAACCATGAATAAACCTACCCCTTACCTGAATACCACGTGCGTGGTGTGATTCTTACTCGGCAACCTCTTTTTAAAAAACCTAACACTTACAATAAAAAAATAATTTTGTGCTTTTAATAAAAGTGGTGAGTTTAAGGTATTTCTTAGATTAGTAAAATTGCGCATTCCTGCAATTCTTATTTCTCGGTTCTTATCCTTTAGGCTCATCTTTCTCTCCTTCTCTTGACAGGGTCTCAGTATGTAGCCACCCTGGCCTGGAACTCACCATCTTCAGGCTTCACCCTCCTCAGTGCTGAGATTACAGGTGTGCACAAGCAACTACATGCGAATTCTTTACACACAAAGCTCATTGCTTTATCCTTAGAATATAATTTCAAATTATAAATATAACCCTAATTATGAGTTCTAAAATATATATTGGTCACTAGTTCATGACTGCTGAACACCCTCCAAGGCCCACAAAGCGGGCCGATCTTTTAGGAGCTTAGCAACCGGGCCGAATTTTCCTTGGCGGAAGGTTCCCACAAATCACTAGGGTGGGAACTGCAACCAAGGCTACTGCCCTCCTTACCCCAAGAAGCAACATCTCGCGGTATCTCAGTTGTCCTGGAAGAGGGGGGCGAGGAAGGGAGTGACTGTGTCTTAGACTCGACTACAAACCCCAACATGCAATGTGCTCCGAGGCCGCGCGCGCGCCCGAATGAATTCGCGGAGCCAAAGTCATGTGTCGGCTTGCGTCAGGTGTCGGGTCATCCCGCTCACGCCTTTTCTTCAGCTTGCCACCTTGGCCGCCATTTTGTGCGGAGGTTATAGAACCTCTGAGTTCCCTACCCACCGACTCTATGGTCGAGAATTTCAAGGATCAACCAATCGTAACTCAGCTCTCCGAGGAAAACCCCGCCTTTTTCCGCAGGGAGGCGGGAATTGCCACGAAGTTGCTGTGGGAGGAGAGAGGAAGAAACTGCGGAAACCCAATCGAAAAGGGCGACTTGATGACGCAAACCAATGGGGACGAGGGAGGGTTGCAGCCAATGAGAGTAGAGGAACCCCAGGACACGTGGGTGGGGGAGCCGTGCGCTGAGAGCAAGGGCTAAAGCTGCGAGGTGAGTCAGTCACCTTGAGAGGGGCGAGCGCCGTGTGCCGGGCAGGGTCTGCGGGGGAGAGGGTGTGCAGGTGATTCGGGGCCGGGAACCTGCGGGCGGCTGGGTAGTGGATTGGGCGTAAGGAGACTCATCTGCCCTCAAGAATGGAAGAAACGATGGGAGGTTTTAGTCTCACCAATTAATGTTAATGACCAACGGTAATGAGCGATAAACGGCCACTCCCGGGGCTAGTAGAGGGCAGATGTGTAATCTGGGCAGGATCCTGCAGGGCACCTGCCCGGCTTCTGCCACTTCATCCCGGGAGACGGTCTCCTTTCGCAACGTCTCTCTCCTGGGGCCTGAGCCTCTATTACTTCCGATTTCTGTGTTTTTTTTTTTTCCACGCTGCATACCCGCAGCGCAGAAGGTGGTTGACCCTGGAGTCCGCGCTGTCCTTCTGACCTCTAATGCCTTCCTCCGGCTGGGGTGCGATGCAAGAAGAGAGGGTCCAGGGACAATCGGAGTGGGGTGGGGGGAATGGGGACGGTGCAGGGGACGACAGAAGGTCGTCACCATAAGCAAGCAGCCGTGCTCTCAAAGGATTTATAGTTACTCTTTGTTTTTGGTTTTCTGCAGACTGAAAAAATGCAGACCACCGGGGCACTGCTTATTTCTCCAGTTCTGGTAAGCTAAGGCTGGTGTATCCAGTGGTGCCATGTACGGTGTAGTGCCATGTATGGTGTGGGAGGCAGCTCTGTGTGTGTAGTGAATGGAATGAGTGGGGTTTGCTGTCAGGATGTTGGCTCTTTGAGGAGATTGGGATGCAGGTAACTGCTGTTGAGTTGGACCTGTAATCCAAATTCTCTTGGCTTTGAAATTTCTCAGAGAGGCTAGATCTGACCTTTACCCCCAGTCTAGCTTCAACAGCCCATGAAAACATAATCTCAACCTTGGCTGCATATTAGAATCACCTGAGGAGCTGTTAAATTTCCTAATGCCAATCAGACCAGTTACAGGAGACTATGGGAATGAAGATGGAACCCTAGACCTTTTTTAAAACTCCCCAGTGATTGCACAGTTCAGCCGAGTATGAAAACCACTGCACTTTGCCTTAGAGAGTATTTCAAGAAAGCCATGTCACACGTGAGGCAGGTGGCACTTAGGAGGCTAAGGCAGGAAGATCTGGAGTTCCAGGCCAACCTGGGCTACATAGAAAGACTCTCAAGAAAGAATGCATGTTACAGAAGGCTCTCTGTAGGTGGCTGTTCCAGGAACTTCACCAAGCCTACTGGCCCACTGCAAGAAAGATGTCTAGCAGCGTGTACATTTTAGTATATACCTTCCCCTTTCTTCATTACTATGGTGGTTTGGGTACAAACCTTTCTTGTACCCCCATCTGCTCTTAATGTGGATTTTGTTCCATTCTGAGAAATTGATGAAGGCTGTGCCCATGGAAGTGAATTTGAATACATGTTTTTGTTTCGTTGGTGATTGAAC